CTTTTAATCTGTAATTTATGCCCTGTCAGTTTCTAAAAAGGATTGGAGATTTCCAGTAGGAGAATTGTGCACAGAAGGTGGCGGACACCAAAGAGAAAATTGAAAACTGACACAGGAGGAGGAGGAAGCAAAGGAAGGAATAGAATTACTCAGACTCAAGATTAGCTTGAGACCTGAGCTTTCTGGCAGCTAAAGCAAAGAGGGACGCATGACCACCTGCACACACTTCCTTATCTGAAAATAAAGTTCCCAAGGTTGGTTACTGTGGCATAGAGGATTAAGCCGCCACCTGCTGCACCAGCATCCCGCATGGGCACCTGGCTGAGTCCTGGCTGCTCCACTTTCAACCCAACTCCCTGCTAAAGAGCCTGGGGAAGCAGTGGAAGATGCACCAAATGCTTGGGCCTTTCCTGCACTCACATGGGAGAACCGGAAGAAGCTCCTGGTTCCTGGCTTCAGCCCAACCCAGTCCAGACACTGTGGTCATCTGGGGTGTGAACTAGCACGTGGGAGATCTCTCTCTGTCTTTGGAATTTTAAAAATGTCTTAATAAAAAATAAAGAAAAAAAAGAAGAGAAAGGAAGCAAGGAAGATGCCGGGTGCCAGGAGGCTGTTGGCTCTGCAGCGGACAAGGGTGTTGGTGCTGTGTCCCGTGGTGACGCTCAGGAGGGCCAGCCTTTGCAGCAGGGCCCAGGCAGCCCCTCTGGCGCTCTCCAGGACAGGACCTGTCACCTTCTGGGTGTTCTCACACCGGGACCGGAGGAGGAGCGAGTGAGGGGCAGCGGGGTGCAGGGGCGCTGGGACGCAGGCTTGCTGTGCAGGATGGGCCCCCATGGACTTGCCCTTGGGTGAGGGGGCAGTTCTGCCCCTTCCATCATGTCCACCCAAGGATCCGGCTGTCTCGCGTGTGACCCCTCAGCTCCACCTGCAAAGTTGATGGAGCGCCAACGGTGTGTCGGGCAGAGCCCTGCCTTGGCAGCTGAGGGGCTGCTTCCCCTGCAAAGCTGGTCCACCTACCCCATGCTACCCTCTCCCCCACCACCAAGCTGCCTGAGAGGCTCTGGAGACACTGTCAGCCGGATACCTCCCCACACATTCTTGTAAACAGCGGCTGAGCTGGTGTCCCAGGGCAGAGCGGTCACACTTGACCATTCTGGAATTTTCTTGGGTGTGTGGCATCTCTGAGTGCAGGATTAGCCTGTGGAGCTGTGGTTGCTGTGGACTTGAGGGGGTGGAAGGAGCCAGGCCAAGGCAGTGGCTGCAGTGGGGATTAGCTCCATGAGGGGCACAGCTGGGCAAGAGAAGTGACGGCAGGAGTCTGCGCCGTGGCCTGGGAGGTTAAGGGCTGCACGCAATGTCCTCTGGGCTCCGAAGGATGATCCGAGTGTTGGGCCCCAGCCACCCACGTGGCAGACCCAGATGGCACTCCAGGCCGCAGGCTCACGCAGCCCCAGCTGTGGCAGCCATCTGGGGAGAGAACCAGTGACGGTCAGGCCTCTGTTCACTCAGTTTTGTGCATGCGTCCTTTTCAGGAGGTGTCCTGGCCAGCCGGTGAGCAGGGCCCACAACCTCATGGCGCCCACGGCCCCCATGGACTTGCCCTGTGGAGTGCCACCTGCCAGGCTGCAGAGCTGGGGTGCCGGGGCAGCGTGCAGATGTTCGGGGAGGGCTTACGGATGCGCCGGGAGCAGGTGTTGCGGTCCTGCCCCACTCACCTTGCGTCTTCCTTTTTTGGGGGGCGAGCTTCATCAAATGGTGATGCTAGGAAGCAGACTCGGGCCTGCAGCCATGGTGCCAACAACTACACATGCTTCTCAGTAACTGGAGATGGGGGGGGCACAGGGACTGAGCTGTCACTACCATGTGCCGCCAGCCTGTCATTAGGGCAGCTGCCTTTGCTTCTGCCCTCACAAGATCAGGGCCTTTGGCTGCCCAGCCTGCCAGCCTGACACCCTAAACATGGCAGAAAAGAAAGTCACCCCTTTGTCAGGATAAAGGCCTTACTGATGTGCATGGGAAACCTAGCTGAAGAAAAACTAACATATATTTAGCCTGATTTTATTTGTAGATAAGTGTTTTTGAGAAATCTATGAAATGAAGTGAAAATCAACATTCTCCTCAAACCACGCTGAGCAATTAAACTCTGTCCAGAGAAAGAACTGAATTCAAAGGGTTTAATGACTTGTGTCCCCGAGGATTCCTTTCCCCACCTTAATCTCATCTATTTCCCCTTGTGGCCGAGCTTAATTTGCATTTTGTCCCACTCACCCTGTGAATGGAACCTGAAACACAGGAGTGACAGCCACGGGTGCCGGTGCTGCTGGGCAGTCCTACCCGGAGACACCGGGCACTGCAGGACACCGCTCACTCCCCTCCCGTCTCCAGGAGATGAGCTGCGAGGCAACCTCAGAGCTGTTCCATTTCCAGCTTTCCTTGTGCAGCCCCTGCACGCATTTGTAGCCAGCGGCCTGCCCCATGCTCCAGGGTCAGCCTGTGCCCGCCACGCCCCCTCTGCACCACTGGCTGACTGCCTGCAGGCGGGCGAAGCCGAGGGCAGAGGACGTGGAGGTGGCCCATGCCTCCCACTGTGAGGTCTTCAGAGCTCAGCCTGTAGGCAGCGGTGTGCTGTCTGCTCTACTCCTCCAGGATTCTGGGAAAGAGGGCCTCCTTCCTGCTCCCGGGTGCACGGGAACATGTCGGCCACCCTGCGCCCAGCACACACGCAGCAGAGAAGCCCAACTTGGAATTCCCTAACATTTCCTCTCTTCCACCTGCACGGAGACTCAGAACTCCATACACAGATGGCACCTCACGTGAAGAACGTGATCTGTTAAATACGGTTTCTATTAGCCGAGTTAACAATGTGCCTCGGGTCTAACGGGGCACATGGCAGCTCCTGTGGCAGCTGAGTTCTGACTGTGGAAAACGAGTCATTCCTGTCGCTTTTCTTTTGCCTTCACTTTGTTCCCCTTTCTTCTTTCACAATGTAACGGGCTCATGCTTGGGTCCTACTCAAGGGAGTCCTTGTCAACTTGCCCTCGGCAGGTGACTCAGGTCATCCTTAGGGGAGTCCCCTGTCATCAGTTAAGGATGAGAAGTCCCACAGAAGCACGGGATGCTGTGAACAAGCAGGCCACACCAGGACGCACTGAGACGCTCACTGCTCAAGTACACACTGCCCCAGGTTCTGCCCAGCCAGGCCCGTGGGATGCCGCACTCCTGGCACAGCCCCGGCCAGGCCTGTGGGATGCCACACTCCCGGCACAGCCCCGGTCAGGCCCGTGGGATGCCACACTCCCGGCACAGCCCCGGTCAGGCCCGTGGGATGCCACACTCCCGGCACAGCCCCGGGGGATGCCACACTCCCGGCACAGCCCCGGTCAGGCCCGTGGGATGCCACACTCCCGGCACAGCCCCGGTCAGGCCCGTGGGATGCCGCACTCCTGGCACAGCCCCGGCCAGGCCTGTGGGATGCTGCACTTCCGGCACAGCCCAGGCTCAGCCCCGGCTCTCTCCTCGGGACTGGCCAAGGTCAGGTGTCAGCAGCTCACACGGCCTGGGGAGGAGTCCCCACCCTCAGTGAGCTCACAAGGCCAAAGCCTATTGCACGGAACCACAGTGGACAGTTTCTCCCCTTACTTCTCCAGATAAGCCATAAACTTCATTTCCCCTCATTTTAAGATTTATGTATTCTTATTGGAAAGGCAGATTTATAGAAAGGAGAGACATAGAGGAAGATCTTCCATCTACCTCAATGAGGCTGCAGCTGAGCCAAGAGCTTCCCCTGCATGTCTCAAGTGGTACAGGGTCCCAAGGCCTTGGGCCATCATCTGCTGCCTTCCCAGGCCACAAGCAGGCAAAATGGACACATGCAGGATGGGAAGTGGACCAGCCAGGACACGAACCAGTACCCATGTGGGATCCTGGTGCTTAGGGGGATTAGGCATTTGAGCCACTGTGCAGGACCCCAGCTGCTCCATATAATGGAGATGTTTAAAAACAAGGGCCAGGTCTGAGCCAGGGTGAAGCCAGGCGCTCCATCGGGGTCTCACGGGAGGCAGGGGCCCCAACACGTGGGCCATCAGCAGGGTGCTGGCGCCACAGGCAGTGGCTGTATCCTTTATGCCACAAGAGCAGCCCCTAGAAATAACCCCTTAGCAGAGAATTAGTAACAAATGGAGGAAGGCAGGGCAAGGAGCATGGTGCCACTCCACACGTGCTGAAAAATGCCACAACAGTCTCCTTTTCAGTCCTGGGTTTTTTCACAGGTTACATAAAATCCTAGACACAGATTACACTTATTTAATTAATAATACAGCAATTTTAACAGGGTAACACAGATTCCAGAAAATGTTACATTATGTGCTTGACATTTCATTTATAGATTTCCCCTTAGAAAAGGTTTTATTGTAACAGAAATTTCAAATATACTTTATAAACTGGATTGCGGGCTAATTAGACTCTGCACAGCTATGAAGAAATTATACAACTAATATTCAACCAGAGCTCATTTGTCTGGACACGTGGGCTTGTTAAATATTTCTCTTCTTTATAAAATTTCATCTCCAGTGAAAACAGCCGCACGGAGACAGCGTCCCATCTGTACCCCATCTGTGCTCTGTGTGGCGTCACGGAGGCACAGGGCAGGGCGGTCCAGGGCAGGGCGGTCCAGGGCAGGGCGGTCCAGGGCAGGGCGGTCCAGGGCAGGCGGTCCAGCGCAGGGCGGTCCAGCGCAGCTTCACCGGGAGCTCACCAACACCTGCTACTGAGCTGAAACATCCAAGATGGGGAGCCCTTATCGGGCCGCTAAGGTGCCTGCAACCCTGGGTTCAAATCCTGGCTTCGGCTCACAGCTCCCTGGCAGCCCGGGAGACATCTGGGCTGAGTCCCTGGCTCCCAGCTGTGGCTGGAGCCATTGTGCCTCTTGGGGAATGAACCGGCGGTTGGAAGCTCACTCTATTTCTGTCTCTCAAAAAAAAAAAAAGGGGAACAGAGACATTTAAGTCACAACTGAGTGTTTTTTTATTTTGACAATAAAATATACATTATCCCTTTTCAGGGACCCAGAATAGCTTTTCAAAAAAGCACCCCTCAAACCCACGGGATCATCAGTATTACGTCAGCCCACGTGGAGCTTTTCAGGCTACCACCAGCTGCTCTCTTTGTCCTAAGCACGAGCAGGCACCTTCGAGCGCGGCCACCAGGCAAACACTGGCACGTGTGCCCAGCTGCAGTGCCCAGTTCCTCGTTGACCGAATCTGCTCATGCCCCGTCACTCGGGGCTGGCTGGCAGGGACGAGCCTCCTGCACTCCGCAGTCACATCCTGTCAAGAAACGCTCTGGGAAGGAGTCGCACCCGTGAGGAACACTGCAGGAAGGGCTGCGTGGGCAAGGCTTTCAGGGCACACATGGCAGATGTGCCAGGGACGACACTGGGCTCACCTCACAGCCACCAGCATTCCTCCCACGGGGAGGGGACTCTGCAACGATTCCCCCTGACCAGTCTCAGCTCTGGGACATCGGACCCTCCCCGACACGGACACTGCAGGTGACAAGGATGCCTGTGTGACTCCGAGGAGGGCTCGGTCGCGCCCCGCCTGGCCTGGTGGCTGCACGGTCCCTCACACTGCTCCGGCTGTGCCCATCTCACTTGGACTTCCACACTTCCTCCCACTCGGCAGCCGGTCCAGAGTGCTTGGGAATCGCTGGAAACACTGATTGCATTTTACTTCGAAAGTCTTTCAACTGAAAGAAAAAAAAAATGAACACCAAATGTTCAAAGGGAAGGCAGACCTGAGCAGCAGCCCCAGCTCATGGCACACGCAGAGTGCCAACCCGAGCCTTCCCGCAGGAAACACCTCTTCCCCACGGGGAGACTTGTTAGCCACGCGACAGTGGCACCTGACCACGGAAGGTCACATGCCCAAATCACCTCTCTCTCTCACACACACACCCCGAACATGCATTTCCTATCTGAACAATGGTCTTTTTAAAAACATTTATTGGAAAGGCAGCTACACCGAGAGGAGGAGAGACAGAGAGACCCTCTGTCCTGTATTTCGGCCTCTCCAGATAGTGGGTATGCTCAGGTCACTAAAAAGTTCAGAGCCACAGAGGACAGAGACGAAACCTAGGGGGAGCTTAATAAGGAGCAAACCGGGCCTGGTACAGTAGCCTAGCAGTTAAAGTCCTCGCTTTGCACGTGCTGGCATCCCTTATGGGTGCTGATTCTAATCCTGGCGGCCCCGCTTCCCATCCAGTTCCTGGCTCCCTGTGGCCTGGGAAGCAGCAGAGGACAGCCCAAAGCCTCGGGAGACCCAGAAGAGGTTTTTGGCTCCTGGCTTTGGACTGGCTCAGCTCTGGCTGTTACAGGTGCTTGGGGAAGGAACCAGTGGGCGGAAGATCTTCCTTTCTGCCTCTCCTCCCTTCTGTATATGTTACTTTCCAATAGAAATAAAATAAATCTTTAAACATAAGTAAATAAAGATTAAATAAGTGAAAAGCAGATAAACCAAAATGCTCTGATGGGCCAAACGGTGTAGGAAAGGCAAAGGAAGGATTTCACTCAGCAGCTCATTTGGAATTAAGAGTCAGAGTGGGTCCTGGGGGTCTTCACACGCAGGGTCCGCATGCCTCCAGGGTCTGGTCATCGGAGAACACCCGAGAGTGGAGATGCTCCGGCAGACGGGACCACCGCAGTCCAACAGCACAAGTTACATCCTGGCTCATTGTTTCCACGTGCGTGAGCATGAGGTCTTGGGCTTCCCTCAGCGTGTACTGCAACTCTCACCAGCCAGACCCCATCCACGCCCCGGGCCACACCCTGCTCCTCGTGGGGTCCAAGAAGCACCCTGGGGTCCTCACCACGTCCCCGGGCCACACCCTGCTCCTCGTGGGGTCCGAGAAGCACCCTGGGATCCGCAGCAACATGCAAGTCATAATGGCGCTTACGGAGGGAGCTATTTTATTCACGATGATGATAATTTATTCATTTCAGTGTGATATCTAATCTTCCCATTTCTAAACCCGTCTTATCCTGCTGGAATTGGTCAACCCTGGACAAAGCACCTGCGCTGTCAGCACAGCCTTCTCTTTAGGTCTCAGCCTCTTGCCCGCGTTGCCCCCGCCCCGGGAGAGCCAGCTCGTTCAGTCAGTTTCCACACATGTAAAACAGAGAGTGGCTACCTGCCCACAGGACTGTGGGAATTGAGTGAGAGTTTGCACACAAAGCATGGCAGGTGCCCACCACAGGTTACCATGACAGCAGTGTGGCAGCCCAGGGGCAAAGCACACGGGCGTGTAAGCATGGCAGCAGGTTTGCTTAAAGCATCACTTCACGATTCTCTCTCTGGTTTGACTACAACGGCCCACAGGAGGTCCACGGCAAGCAGCTCAGCCTGCAGGTGCAAATGCCCGCCCGAGAGGTTCTCCACTGGGGTCAGGCCTGTGTCTCCACAGAGAGGCTGGCCCTGGAGAGACGCCCGTGGCCATCACAGTTGGGGGAGAGCCTGGGCACTTGGCGGGAGACGGAGGGCCTGATGCCAAAGGGCCAGCACGGCCCACAGGAAGAAGCGCTTTGCTCTGATGAGTTGCTCACAGCTGAACAATAGACATATCTCTGGGCACAGCTGGCAATGTGCTGCCCAGTACTTTCTCCCCATCTTTCTGCTGCTCATGGGTGACAGCTGGGCCTGACACCACGGTCTCTCTCGCAGTGGTGTCCCAGCCAAGAAGTGAACAGTTTCCATGCTTTCTTCTCAGAGATACAGAATCCCATCAGCTGCTAGGAAGGAAAGTTCGGCAACAGCTGAGGTCCAGTTAGGCGAGTCGAGGGTCGCTGCCTCAGGTCAGCCTACTTGGGAGTTCATTTCCCCTTGCCGGCCTGACGTACCCTTCCCTCTCAACCCCCAAGCGCTGTACTTTTTTTACGCCGTCAACTTTTTTATGCTCCAAGTGGCCACAACAGCTGCAGCTGAGCCAATCCGAAGCCAGGAGCCAGAGCTTCTTCTGAATCTCCCCCAGGCCACAGCAGGGAGCGGGATGGGGAGCGGGGCTGCTGGGACATGGACCCGGACCCACATGAGATTCTGATGTGTGTGAGGTGAGGACGTAGCTGCTAGGCTACTGCATTGGGTCCTACTTGCTTATTTCTATTGGAAAGGCAGATCAGATTTACAGACAGGAGAGACAGAGAAAGATCTTCCATCTGCTGGCTCACTCCCCAAATGGCTGCAACAGCCAGAGCAGAGCTGATCCAAAGCCAGGAGCCAGGAGCTTCTTCCAGGTCTCCCATGTAGGTGCAGGCTCCTAAGGCTTTGGGCCATCCTCTACTGCCATTTCTAGGCCACAAGCAGGGAGCTGGATGGGAAGTGGAGCAGCTGGGACACAAACCAGTACCCATATGGGATCCCAGCACTTGGAAGGGGAGGATTAGCCAGTTATGCCATTGTATTGGACCCAGAGTTTTTTTTTAAATATCTATTTCTTTTTCCATGATACAGATGTCTAAGCATAGGAGTATGTGTGTTGCTCCTTGGGGACTGGGCCTCACTCCCTTCCCACAGCACAGCCTCCACGCCACCGGAGCTGCTAAGCCAGCTTCTGCACAGTATCTCCAGGGACTTGCTCAAACCAACACTGGGTGCTACACAAGAAATAAATCTTCGTTCTTTTAAGGCACGGAGAACATAATACTTTATTTACTGGGAGTATGAGGAGAACGAGGAAGTAGACCGAACACGCTCTGATCCTTCAGTAGTGAGTTTGGCTCACATACAGCTGGAGAGAACCCAGGGCCAGGAGGAGCAGGGACTGCAAGTGAGCTCAACAGCTCCCGTCCTGCCACCGCCGAGTCCCGTGCCCCTCGCCCACTGCCTCCCTGCGGGAGCAGAGCAGCCAGTCTGGGGACTCTGAGCAGCAAGGCCAGAGGTCACGTTTGGGAAGGTTTCTGTCCTGTGGCTGACTGATACATTTCCACCCAGCAGGACTGGCTTGGCTTTGAGAACAGCTGCTCACACTTACGGTACAGCTGGTCTGCTGAGTCCGAGCTAGGATGTTGGAACATACTGCATGATTCACTAAATATTCAGCTGGATTAAGGAAGACTAACATGAATCTTTACAACTTGGCTCCCACTTTCTATCCTTCAGTAAAGGTCAGACATACACCTTCCTCCTAAATCTTTGCTCTATCACACATACACACAAAATCTAGACTACGACACAGTGAAGTCAACTGATTCAGGAATTAAAAACACACATTAAGGGGCCAATGTTTGGGACAATGATGGACAACAGGGCACAGCTCAAAGGCAAAAGCTCTGTGCCAACGTGAAGCCAGCCATGCCACAGGCATGAATTTGTCGGCTCCAAGAGCCAGGGCCCACTCTGCTGGAACCCAGGCCAGCCCAGTTAGAGCCCACATCTGGACTGGCTGTGCTAACGGGTCAGGTTTCCACAAGCCGCTCCCTGTGGCGCTGGATGTCACAGCACAGCACCAGCTGAAGACCACGCTGCTGAGCTCCTGTCCCGGCTCCCTGCGCACATGCCTGGCCGGGCAGTGGGAGACGGCTCAAGGGCGCGGGCCCCTGCCACCACTCGGGATGCAGTGCCCGATCTTGGCTTGATGACGCAGCCACAGGCATCTGTTCACTCAGGAAGTACACCGGAGGAAGAACATTGCCTTTGTCTTTCCACCTTTTAAATGACAATTTTAAAAACATTTTACTCAATGAAGCTTTATTTTTGGTAGCTGGAAAATGCAGAAATGTCTTTCCTTCACTTGCTAAGTAAATGACAACCCTGGAACTCCGGAGTTTTCTGTTTCAGTGCATAAAACCATTTTCTACCAGACATGACCTGCTCATCGCTACCTTCCTGTCTGAGCCCAGTGCTCCTGCTTCCCAGGCACGCGAGCAGGGCGCACGGCGGCTGCGCCCCACGCAGGCCCTGGCCGCCCAGCAGACAGGCGGCACCGCAGGAGGAAGGCAGACTCAAGGAGAAGCCCTGAACAAACACCTCTGTGTACACACATTTGTCTTTAGACTGGGGAAAGTTTTAACTTTTCTAAATAGCCTATTCCACAGGGGTAAACAAGCCAGCATGAATTAGCATGTATTTAATAAGAATTTCTAGAACACTGTACACAGCTCTGGGACCAAATGGCAACTACATGAGGAACTTAAGTTCATATACAATGGAAATAATGCAGTTTTCTCATAATACACATTTCTATGAATCTTATTAAAAAGTTTATTTTTTATTGCAAAGACAGATATACAGAGAGAAGGAGATACAGAGAGAATGAGATAATCCATCTGCTGGTTCACTCCCCACGTGGCCACAACAACCAGAACTAAGCTGACCTGAACCCAGGAGCCAGGAGCTTCTTCTAGGTCTCCCATGCAGGTACAGGATCCAAAGGCTTTGGGCTGTCCTCCACTGCTTTCCCAGGCCAGAAGCAGGGAAATGGAGTAGCCGGGACATGAACTGGCACCCTTGTAGGATCCCAACAGATGCAAGGCAAGGATTTAGCTACTAGGCTATTGTGCCAGGCTCTTTCATGAACCTTTAAAAATTTTTTATTTTATTTTAAGCAGAGTTAGAGAGGAAGAGAGAGACAGAGAGACCCGGGGAAGCATCTCAAGTGACTGGGTTCCTGTCCTGCACGGGGGAGGCCTGCTCTGAGTGCCTGGAGCCTGACCGCGGCCAGCTGCCGCACTGGGTGGAGACCAGCAGGTGAAAGCC